CGGGGCTGGAACTCACGAGCTGTGAGATCATGATCTGAGCCGAAGTCGGACGCTTAACCGACTGAGCCACCCAGGCGCCCCTGGAAGTTTTATTTTTAAGGTTAACATTTCCATCAGCATTGCCAAAACAATATATTGCGTTTTGATTCTTTTTTTTTAATTTAATTTAATTTTTTAAAATTTACATCTAAAATTAGGGGCTCGAACTCACTGACCATGAAATCATGACCTGCGCTAAAGTCAGACACTTAACCAACTGAGCCACCCAGGCACCCCTGTCTGCATTTTGTTTTTTAGTGCCTTCTATGTGCATGTATGAATTGTACTAGGAGCAGTGAGTGGGAAGGACAGAAAAGGAGGTTAATTGATTAGGGATAATCTGAACAGGCCTATAAAGAGGTCTTGCGAAGTACTTGGGCTTACGACTTAGGTGTATGTACAAATCAAGGGAGATGGAGAGCACAGCAATTTGAGAAGGAATGCAGGTTTTGAGCTGTACTTGACTTGCTGAAGGAAGGCCCAAGGAGAAGAGGGACTGTTCAGGGTTCTTCTAGATGCAGGTGGAACGTGTGCCGTCTGGTCCTTGCTCAGGTGCCCTTTGGTGCAGACGTCACAGTCATCTGTTTCCTCTTTTTCAGGCAAATGAAGATGTGACACAGATTGTGGAGATTCTTCACTCTGGGCCTAGTAAATGGAACTGGCTTACCCGTCGTCTGGTGGAATTTACCTCTTCAGGAAGTGTCCTCCTGTTTGTTACTAAAAAAGCCAATGCTGAAGAGTTAGCCAATAACCTTAAGCAGGAGGGTCATAATCTTGGGCTGCTTCATGGGGACATGGATCAGAGTGAAAGAAACAAAGTCATTTCAGACTTTAAGAAAAAGGACATCCCAGTCCTGGTGGCCACAGATGTTGCAGGTAGAGTATGACTTCCCCCAGTGACCTTACATTTCTGTGTTCTGAACAGGCCGAGAGATGGCATTCTGCTGGCCTGGCTGGCCACACCAAATGGAACAAGCGGTTCAGAGTTCCAGTGATCACAATCTGGAGCTTTGGGTACCACTTTTCACTTAATGTTTCTCTTTGAAAAAAAGAATCCCTGCAGTGGGAAGACACTCAGGGGGAAAAAAAATGTTGTCAGTTAATCATAGGCGAGGCCTTTGTTGTATGTCCGAATGTAGCAGCTGTCTTATGTTAATTGGGCATACTTCACTCAAGATCAAAAAGGTTTTTAAGTATGGTTCTTGGCTTGCATTGTGTTCTCGGTTTTTTGTTTTTTATTTTTGTTTTCCAATTTTCTTTTTAATGCTTATTTGTTTATGAGAAAGAGAGACAGCATAAGCAGGGGAGAGGCAGAGAGAGAGGGAGACACAGAATCTGAGGCAGGCTCCAAGCTGTCAGCACAGAGCCCGACATGGGGCTCAAACCCGTGAACTGTGAGATCATGACCTGAGCCAAAGTTGGACACTCAACCGACTGAGCCACCCAGGTGCCCCGTGTTTTCAGTTTAATAGTTGCCCCTAAAAACTCATGTTTTCTCCCCAAAAGGAGATAATTTCTCAGCTTCAAGGCAATTTGATGCTGGCTTTAGTTATTTTATATGTTCTTGGTGCAAGAGAGAGGCCATGGCAGAAGGCATCTGTCTCAGGCTAGATGGCCTGGCATCATAGAATCGACAATGGTGGGATTTGCTCTTGAAGGGTAACTTTAATTAAATGCTTGTGTATTAGCTCACCAAACCATACACTTTGCCTAGAGTAGAGGAATGTGGTTTCTTTTTTTTTTTTTTTTAATTTTTTTTTTCAACATTTTTTATTTATTTTTGGGACAGAGGGAGACAGAGCATGAACGGGGGAGGGGCAGAGAGAGAGAGTGAGACACAGAATTGGAAACAGGCTCCAGGCTCCGAGCCATCAGCCCAGAGCCTGACTCGGGGCTCGAACTCACAGACCGCGAGATCGTGACCTGGCTGAAGTCGGACGCTTAACCGACTGCACCACCCAGGCGCCCCAAGGAATGTGGTTTCTTAAAGAGCCAGCATTTTGGATTACATTGTTTTTTCTGACTCATGCTGAAAAATAAAAGAATTTGGTTGTTTTTATTTCAGCCCGTGGTCTGGATATTCCTTCAATTAAGACCGTCATTAACTATGATGTGGCACGAGACATTGATACTCATACTCACAGGATTGGCCGCACAGGACGAGCGGGTGAGAAGGGTGTGGCATATACCTTGCTGACCCCCAAGGACAGCAATTTTGCTGGTGACCTCGTCCGGAACTTGGAAGGAGCCAATCAACATGTTTCCAAGGAACTCCTAGATCTAGCAATGCAGGTGAGGGGCTGGGCACACTTCACATTGCCCCAGGTTATAAAACTAAGTGAAAAAAATTCAACAAGCTTGAGAAGATAACATAGAAAGAGGACAGGAAAGTTGGGGCCGTGGGTGGGGACAGTGCTTATGACAGATCGGTATTATAGGACATTAAAATTCATCTGGTCCATCTGCTTATCCTCTCCTTTCAGCAACATCTGTTTGCAAAGCTATTCCTTTTTGTGCAAAAATCTGTCCCTCTGAAATTTCTGCCTGCTTGCCTCATAGCATACTTGTAAGTTTAATCTCAAAGATGGCTACTATTTCCCTTACCACTCTTTCTCCCAGTCTTCTCCTTGGGGGGCTAAAAATGTGTGATGTCTTAAGAAAACGATATATTTAACTATTTTACGTAGACTTAGGTCTCAGACCTTTGACAACCTTGATTACCGATCCAAAGCTGGGCGTTCTACTGAATTAAGTCTTGAGTCATTTTTTAATTTTTTTTTTTTTAATGTTTATTTATTTTTGAAAGAGACAGAATGCAAGTGGGTTAGGGGCAGAGAAAGAGGGAGACCAGAATCGGAAGCAGGCTCCAGGCTCTGAGCTGTCAGCACAGAGCCCGACGCAGGGCTCGAACTCACGAGCTGTGAAGTCACGACCTGAGCCAAAGTCAGACACTCAACCGACTGAGCCACCCAGGCGCCCCTAAATCTCGAGTCATCTGAACACGTCATCCCCATATTACAAATGGATTCAGTATAAACATTCTGATAGTAAAGACTTTGTGTTTTTTAGATTTACAAGCCAGCTCACAGAATAGCTTATCCATAATGTACTCACAGTGTGGTACTGCTGTCCATGCTCGGGGTTCTGGGAGTAAAGGACCTGCATTGCAGGAAGGAATAGGATACGGTTTCCTTCTCTTTCCTAGGTACAGAGAGCCAGTCGTAAACTACATTTTCAAACAGGATATATCTTGTCTTTGGCTTTTTCCTGCATCCCTTTTTGTGCCTCATGTTTCCTGTGCTCTCAGACTGTGTGATCAGCTTCCCTGGTCAGTGCCTTTCTGAAGCCAGCCCTACCTCTTAAGTACTTCATTTAGATTGTAACGTGATTGTCAGATAAAGGACTAACCTCTCCCAGTCATGTTGGCATTCTGAAGAGAATGTGAATAAATCTGATGAGTAGTGTTCTGCTAGTGATAAGTTCAAGGAACACTTTGGGCTATGGGTAAATAAAACTTTCAGTTATGGGGCTACCAGTCCTGAACGTCTGCCCCTAGAGCCAATTCTGATGAGCCTCACTTTACATAGCCTTTTTCCTTTACTTCTGAACCCACCAGTTCTTAAAAGCTCCGTTATTTGTATAGTCCAGTGGTATGTATAGATTGAGATATAGAAAATCAGTTCATTTTCCTCTAGGAAACTAGAAGAGGCCAGAGTAAGTGTTTCATATCTGAGGCTTGTGTGATCACTTCCCTTCCTGGTGCTAAGACTCCTGACAAATTTGGTGGACTAAACTGTTCCTATGAACAGTTGCCGTAAAAACGTTGGCTAAACATGAAGCAGTAAGTTCCTCCCTCCCCCTTAATTTCCTGTTTGATGTTGTCTTCTTTCTCTGGCCGCCTCTTCTTCCCCTCGCCTAACCTTGAATTATGTTCAACACAGAATGCCTGGTTTCGGAAATCCCGCTTTAAAGGAGGCAAAGGCAAAAAGCTGAACATTGGTGGAGGTGGTCTAGGCTACAGGGAGCGGCCTGGCCTAGGCTCAGAGAACACGGTGAGTCCAGACTACAGTAGTGCCCTTAGGGCTGGTCCTGAGTCCTGGAAGAGGTTATGACTGTCCTCATCTACCTGCGAAAGCCTCTCTGAGTTCAGAACCTTGTCTAGAAGGGAATGTTGTGACTTCTATTGAAGAAGCACCCATGTGTATGTGGTGACTAGACCTACTCAGGAAATAGTCTAGATTAGCAGTGGTTTGCAAACTGTGGTCTCTGGCAGCAGCAGTAAACTGCAAACTTGTGCACTATCCCAGGCCTGGTGAGTTAGAAACTCTGGGAGGTGGGGCCCAGCAGTCTGTTGTTACAAGCCCTCCAGCAATGGCCTAGAGCCTGCTGCTACGAACACAGGGTCACTCTGTAAACTCTACTGTATCTTGTAACTAAACTCAGGAATGCTTCCTACATTCGGTGGGAAATAGCACCAGAGTGAGGTGAGAGCTAGCTTTTCTCACAGAACGGTTAACAAAAGTGTCCCCTCACTGGCTTTCTTAACTTTGATTCCAAACCAAAGTAGAAAGCTGCTAGTCTGTTTCTGGAGCGTTACAGTTAACTCGGTGTCTTTGAGAAGAATCTGCTCCTGTGTCTCAGTAACAATGATGCACAGGACACAGATGCTAGCGATGGCTACCGTTGAGCACTTACTGTATGCCAGGGCCAGCCACTGCAGGCCATCCTGTGTATTAAGTCCATCTTTACATCCACCCAGTGACAGCAAGTACAGATGATAAACCTGAGGCACCCCAAGTTACACTCCAGTAAGTGCTGAAGCGGAGACTCAGACTGAAGAGTGGAACAGTGTATATGCTACATGCATACACTGTATACTGCCTTGTGGCCTCTTTGTCCGTAGCATAAAGCTCCACAGAATTATATAAATATCACGTTTGTGTGCGTAAATAGTACCACATGAACAGCTTTGAGCATTATCTGACTTCATTTCTAATATATTGGGGTTAATTCCCCCAAAACAGAATCACTGGGTTAAAAGTCATAAATAAAACATTTTAAAATGATTATTACTGTACCTTTTTCCACAAAATATAAATAAAAATGTCCTGTTCCCATTGCAGCGCCCACTTCTGTTTCCAGTATATTGAGGCCCATTCTGTCCTCATGGGTATGCTTGTTTTTTAGGACCGAGGAAATAACAACAATGTAATGAGCAATTATGAGGCCTACAAGCCCTCCACAGGAGCCATGGGAGATCGGCTGACGGCCATGAAAGCAGCTTTCCAGGTCTGGATTTAAACATATAAACAAGCTTTCACTGGTAACTCTTGGGCTGCGATGACGGGCCTAGTCTTTCTGAGATGATAGCTGGGCTTATATGCTTGATGCTGGATTTAGAGCCTTCTCACTGCTTTCAGTTTTGAGTATAAACTTAGTGGTAGCTTACCTAGAGGTGTAGGTGTAGAAGCTAGGGAATCTCCTCCTGCTGGTCACTGACCTCCGTCATCCCAAAGCCCAGGACTGTTGTGCTGCCACAGGGCTGGTGTTCCCTCCCTGCCTCCACAGCCAAGAGTTTGCCTGCCTCTAAGACTGTTGTAATCTGATTGAGAGTAATTGCCATTTTCCAGCTAAGACAAGTTTGATTCTGTAGTTCTTATGAATTCTGAACACGTCTTCTATACTTACTCCTCCAGTTGGCTGGCTAACCAGCTGAGCCTTAATGTATACATTTTATCTGCCCTCAGTGAGGTTTCAGTTAGATCCCTAGGTTTATTCTGTCTCATTAACAGAGGAACATAGAGACCACAGAGTAATGGGGCCATCAGGATGCTCAAATCATCGTGCCAGGATAGCATAGAATTTGTGTACCTTCTATTGCCAAGCTTACCTGTCCAATTTTCTTGAACCCGCTATCTTACCTACTCCTGTTGTCTCTCTTTTAGTCACAGTACAAGAGTCACTTTGTTGCTGCCAGCTTAAGCAACCAGAAGGCAGGAAGCTCTGCTGCTGGGGCAAGTGGATGGACTAGTGCAGGGAGCTTGAATTCTGTTCCAACTAATTCAGCCCAACAGGGCCATAACAGTCCAGACAGCCCCATTGCCAGCGCCGCCAAGGGCATCCCAGGCTTTGGCAACACCGGGAACCTCAGCAGTGCTCCAGTGACCTACCCTTCCGCTGGAGCCCAGGGAGTCAACAACACAGCTTCAGGGAATAACAGCCGAGAAGGGCCTGGGGGAGGCAACGGGAAGAGAGAGAGATATACTGAAAACCGGGGTGGCAGCCGCCACAGTCACGGAGAGAGTGGCAATCGGCATGGCGACAGCCCCCGTCACGGAGATGGTGGTCGCCATGGAGATGGATACCGCTACCCAGAAAGTGGCAGCCGTCATGCTGATGGTCACCGTCACGGGGAGAACAGACATGGAGGAGGCGGAGGCCGACACGGAGAGAGCCGAGGCGCAAACGATGGTCGGAATGGTGAAAGCAGGAAAGAAGGTTGCAATCGTGAGAGCAAGGTGGACCCCAAGGTGGACAGCAAGATGGACAAGATGGACAGCAAGACAGATAAGACAGCTGACGGTTTTGCTGTCCCCGAGCCACCCAAGCGCAAGAAAAGTCGATGGGACAGTTAGAGGGTATGTGCTGAAGTGTGGAATCAATTGTCTTTAATTTTATTTTTAGAAAGATTTTTGGTAACTAGGTGTCTCAGGGCTGGGTTGGGGCCCACGGTAGAAGGACCCCCTGCCCTTAGTGGATAGCTGGAGCTTGGAGACATTACCCTTTCATCTGGATCAGTTTTCAGATGTCTTCTTAGCAAGCTGCTTTGGTCCTTGGAAGCAGCGAGCGCTGGGAACTTCCTTTTGGGCTCTGGGTGAGTTGTCAAGGTCAGTTGGGAATACCTTGGAAGAAAGGGCCTTCTAGGGCACAAAACTCACTCTAGGTTTATATTATATGTAGCGTATATTTTTTACTAAACTGTCACCTTATAAACATCTACAAATAAAATTTCTTTTCTTAGCTGTGTGGCCAGGCAGTCCCTTTTAGGAGTTGGCTTTCTGCAAACCCAACCCACTGAAGTGTTTGTTAGAGATTTGGGGAAGCATTTTGGTGCTTCTAGACTTTGCAGGGAAGGGAGATGTCTGATTCTAAGCGGGAGTCCATGGTCAGGTTCCCCAGCCAGGTTTGTATCCAGTCCTGAGACAGGAAGCAGCAGCCGCCTGCCAGACCCAGAACCTCTGCCCTTCAAGAGGAAAAGATGATCCTGGAAACAAGACTGCTCCAGGTCTGAAGTGTTGCTAAATTTAAACAAAAACTCTGACAGCTTTTAAAGTGTCTTCTATTTCATTGTATTTTTTTTTTTTTAACTTGCCACAATGGTAGAAAAATCTTTTGCTGAAATGATTTTGATGATTTTTGTTCTATCTTGTTTATAAAAGGAAAAGAAATATACATCCTTCGAATTTTGTGACTTTGTGAAGGTTTCTTTAAGATGTGCATTCCTTTCTGCTTGCTCTAGTAAATGTTTTACTACTGGGACCTGTGGATTGTTTGTCATTTGTACTTCACAGTGAGTACATAACAAAGTAGGATTTATAACAGTGCAGCACATGGTGTGAACACCCAGGTAGGTGTTTGAGTTAACGCTTAATGGGAACTAAAATGTCAGGAAAAAAAGTACCCTGGTTTTTATTTGGATGAATGGAGGAAGACCAGCGATACTGAATATGCCACCCCAACACTAACCTTAAAAAAAGGTATGTGTGTTCAATACCCCCACAGGACGGATCCGAGACCTGCCTTCAGGCAGGAGGAGTCTCCTCACCACGCAGGACCACCTTGAGAGTTCTAGGCACCCCACCTGTGTGTCCACCCACTGACTGGGATGCAAACGAGACTGTAGCTGGTACCAGGGGGGCCAGAATCACCCCTCTGCGTCCTCACACTGTCTTCTCAGAGGCTCTGCTCACTTCCGTCTGTGTTTTTTCTTCTGCTCTTTCCTTTGTTGTGCTCTTTGGTCCTTCTTCATCCTTGAGTCCACCACTTTGAAGTGACCTCTGACCCCAGCTGGCCGGCGCACTTTGCGGCCCACACCTTTTTTGGCTACGACATAGGTGACTTGGCGTTTCTCCCTGCCGAGCCCAGCCTTCTTGTAGAGGCTGTAAATGGAAGGAGCAGGTTCAAGGCTTCCTGCTACTTTTCAACCCCACGTACCTTTGTGGGTGATCCCTCTCCCTCACCTCCTAAGCTGAGCCACTTTCTCTCGTTCAGAGATGTCCACGGTGTTCACCACAGCCTCTGCCTTCTTCTTGGTTTGCTCCAGCTTCTTTAGCATCTGTCGGGTGGGGGCGGGGGGGTAGGTGCTCAGTGAGACCTTTTCCCAGCTCCCTTCCCTGCACTCAGGCAGCCCCACGATTTACCCTCCTACCCTCCGTTTCTTTCTGGCTTTGGCCTCAGCAACTTTCTTGATGGGACGCGCATTGATTTCCCGCCAGCGTCGGCGGTAGTGTTCCACCTCCTTCTTGTCAATGGGCAGCTGCCGTACCCTGTGCTGCTTTTCCTCCTGCACAAACCACTCCGGAAGCTCTCCCTCCTCCTCGTTAAATGTATACCTAAGCAGAAAGAGAACAGCAGCCCTGAGGACCCCTCCAGGCTTCCTAAAGCAGAAATCACCCCCTTACCCACCCCCAGTCAGGGCCACTTCTCATGACTTTCTGGCCCTCTTACCTGCTGAAGGAATCATCTATGAGGTCTCGTTTAGCCTTTTTGGAAGAAGCAATGATAGCACCTAGGGCAAGGCCTTCAGGGTCTAGTATCCTACGTTTCACTAGAGAGAAAAAGGGACAATGTCAAAGCCTCCTTCCCAACACGGAAACTTCCAATGTCGCCTCCCATTCCATAAGGCGTGGAGCTCACTTGGGTCCTCGATGGGCACAATCTCAAACCCGTCTTCATCTGACTTAGGCCCACGGCTTCGCTTCTTTCCATGCTTTGGTTCCCAACTGCAGAAGGGGGACAATCATGTACTGTTCTGCCATTCCCCAGACTCACTCCTGCCTCACGCCTCAACCACGCTTCCTATTTAAGACTTGAACTTCCAAAAACACCCTCCCAGGCCATACCGCACACCACTTAAATCAGAACCGTTGGTACTTCTTAAAACTCACGGTCTACAGCCAAAGCTGAAAACCCCGAACGTGGAGAAACGGTCACAACCACTGCTTTTTCATCCCTTCTCCCGTCACCTGCAGGCACTCACCTCTCCCCATCCTCGCTGCTGCTATCGCCGTCTGAGCTGCCATCTCTTTCTTCCCCGCCAGGCCCACTGGCGGCCTCTGCCTCTGACGGAGCCCCTGCCCCTGCCCCTGCTGGATCCTTCTCCTGGCATGGGGGAGGTTTTTCCTCGGCCTTCAAGCTGGAAGGAGGTGGCAGCTGCTGCCACCCCTTCCGACGGCTCTCATACAACAGCTGCGCTTGACTGATCTCCAGGGCCTCATCCGCATCATCCTCAAGCCCACTGAAGCCATCCTGTGATTGAGAAGGAATATTCAAGCCGCCTTTCTCCCAGGGCATGCTCATTCCCTATCTTTCTGGGCTGCCAACCTCTTCTTACCTTAGAGAACCACAGACTGGCTTGTTCTTCCCGCAGTACCGTCCTTTCCTCCAGTGGTACCAGCAGCGGATTCTCCTCTTCTTCCTCTTTGTCACCATCTTCTACTTCAGTAAATCGTACACTGCAGACCCAAGGAGAATGGGTGGGGGATGGGTGCCCCGGAGGACCTGCTCCCTGACACCCTCTGGCAATCCCTAGGACCAGCTGTGCTTCAAAACTCACACTGAGGGGGTCAGTACTCCCTCCTGCATGCACGCCGCCGCCCTTACCGCTTTTGGTCCTTTAGACGCGGAGATCCTCCAACTCCCGCCAGCTCCTCTGGATCCAAGTCACTGTCCAGAGATGTGTCGTCATCCTCGACATCTGATACATAGATGTCATCCCTTGGCACATCAGACAGAAATGTGTCCGCAGCACTCATATCCCCTTGTGTTACCTCCTCTAACAACTAGAGTTTGACAGAAACAAAGAGATCAAGGGTACTCCTAAGGAACATACTGCTTCCCCCCGCCCGGCTGTGTTATCAGCAGAGCTTGAAAATACGCTGTGGCAAATACAGAGAAGTGACAGGTCTAAACGTTTAACACCTCCCGTTCTAGACCAGGCCACTATCCCACGCGCTGTCTTCCAATAGTACCAGAAATAAATTTTAAAAAACACCCCAAAGCCTATATATAACATCAAATGTTAAAATAGTCTGAAACGCTGGTTATTCTTTAAAATCGCCTTCTGAAAATAAATCTACGAGTTTTGTTTCCACGGAATAAAAGAGCCCAGGCAACATAACATCTAACAAGAATGATTTCAGTTACAAACTCAACCTCAAAATCCATTTTCCTAATGACAAAGCTAGCTGTTCTTGCGAGCTTATCACATTAGCAGTGATTATACCTAAACCCTCTTTCGATTCGTCCCCAAAACCCTGGTCAGTAGGTTCTATTATTCTTTCACAGATAAGGAAACTAAGGCAAAGAACTACTCTGGCAGTCTGCTCCAGAACCACTGTGCTCTCTCCCTCCTGCACTTGTTCCAAAGATGACCTGGTTTCCCTTCCCACAAGGGCCACAAAAGTTCACTGTGCTTGTTGATGCTGCTTTTATGATGGAAAAGCAGGTTCTCCAGTATTTGGCAGAAAGCACCACCTAGCAGCCTATGGCGTCAAGGTGCTAACTTGGTCTTGGTGAACGGAAGAAGGCTGCCCTCCTCCGAAGGAAACCATCATGCGTCCTGGTATCCCAGTTACCCTGGCTGCATCTACTAGTACCTAAGCTTACTGCAAAGAGTGTCTCTTAGTTCTAATATTCTAGTTCTATGAGAATAAATGCACATCCTAGTCATAAACGTTCCTGAGCCTATCATTTTAAATGTCCTTAAACGTTACTTATTTTTTTTATCGTGCAAGCAGGGGAGGGGCAGAGAGACAGAGAATGTGAAGTGGGCTCTGAGCTGTCAGCACAGAGCCTGATGCGGGGCTCAAACTCACAAAGCCCAAGATCATGACCTGAGCCCAAGTTGGACGCTCAACCGACCGAGCCACCCAGGTGCCCCTAATCTTGTCATTTTAGTCGTATGTTTCCTCCTGGCTTTTCAAGCACAAAGCTCTGGGTTCTTTCCCCCGTCTCCTGTCCCCAAAAATGAGGCCCCTCTCATTTTATGGGTGAACACAGCAAATGTGAGCCATGAACATTCAGCACACTTAAAACAGACATTCAGTGCCCCCCACGTCCAAATACCTAATGAGATCATTCGGTCTCCTCAGTGTGCCCTAACCCCACCCTCACCTGGTGACCCCGGATGGTGCGCAGGGAGAACATGCCAGTCTCCCCCTCATCTGCAATAGAAACCCCAGGAAGGTCCATCTTCAGCTCCACACGCTCCCGCTGTTTTCTCTGCTCACGCAGCAGCTTCTTTTTCTTCCTGAGGGGACGGACAACTGAGGAATCCTGCCTGCCCAGCTCTAAAGGTTCCCCATCTGTGCCTTCACCCCCTCCTCCAGCTTCACACACCGAGGTGCTCCGCAGC